ACATGTTTAACACACACAAATCCTGCTTATTTAGGCCGAGTTCATCCCTCAAACAGAAAACACTCTGTTCCACCTTGTGATGTCATGTGGTAAGTGCTCTACTATGTTTTTAAACTCCACACATCTTCACTAGAATCATTTGCAAGATTTCAGCCCTGGAATTCCCTCTACTAAAAAAAAAAAAACGGTAAAAGGTTGTTAACTTGAAAACTACCACTACGTGACCTCACAAGGTGAAGGTGGAACATAACATTTTGAGGTTTGAAGATGTAGACAGTCTAATAATGCAGGATTACTCAAACATGTGTGAATGAAACAAAACACAACTCCAGGTGAAACAAAACACAACTCCAGGTTTGTTTTTGATGAGCATTATAACATGGCATAAAGCTCACAAGAGTCAATTTTGCTTAATATAGGACCTTTAAAATTCTGGAAAATTCTAAAATATGTGTGTTAATTGCTGCTGGGAAAGATGCCAAAAAGCACTGTATTAGGGTTGTAGTCAACTAAAGAAATTCTAGGTCTACTAAAGCCAATCGAGGGGGTAATTGGTAAATAGTTTTTTTTTTGCACTCTAAAATGTTAACACCAGTGCACATGCTAACATCCAGCTCAATCTGTGCTACTGCTGACAGAATTTGCATTACAGGCTAAAGCTTGCACCTCAGTCCTCACAACAGCTCATGTCAACACCATGTCATCGTGAATCTGTCAAACCAGGATCACAAATGTACCCTGTGAAAGGGTGACCAGATTTTCAAAATAAGAAAATACTGGGACACCCCCAGTTTGTGGTGGCTGATAATAATAAAACTGTGAAACGAGTGCGTAATTAAGGAAAATCGCTCTCTTTGTGTTTTGGTCATTTTAAAGCAGTTTACCTCAACAAGTGACAATTTAAGTCTCTCATTACTGCTGGCAGGAATCAGATTGGTCAAAAATAGGGACACCTGGGACATTTCTTGTATAAAACTGGGACAAATCTCTGGATAAATCTGCAGGGACAGGGGACACAGGGTTCAAAACTGGAACTGTCCTGGGTAAATAGGGACGTCTGGTCACCTTAACCCTGAAGTATCCTTTAGCCCACAATAACAAACTGTTGGATGGAAGAGCATTTGAATGAATAATATGTAACTTACAGAGTTTTACTTGTAGGCTGTATGATCTGATTTGAGTATACTAACATACTTAGTGTATCACCTGCTCTAAAGTAAATACAGATGTGGTTAAGTATGAGAGACAAACAGGAAGGAGAATGCATGCTCTGCTGAATGCTTTGCATACAGAAAAAAATAATTATACCCAATGTGTAATTCTCAAACTGAATTATATAAGCATAGCTACTAAAAAGTTTCAGATAACTTTTTTTTTAATATATATTTTAGAACATTTTTTAATCATTCAAAATGACTGGATAATGAACTGCACATAAAGAACGAATAACAATGTCCTGTTTGATACAGGGTTAGTCCTGATGGGAACTTGATTTGGTCGTGGTTTAGTCCAGGTTTTGTTCTGGGGTATTAAGGCCAAGTTTAGTCTCAATTTTGAAGTGAAGTCATAATGACTTGTGTGGTATTGACATCTTTTGACACTCTCAACACCTGGACAACTGAGGGATAAAACAGATATTATACCACAGGGTAATATAAAGGAAAGTACTATGATTCAATGTTGAAAATGACACTACTGTCTAAATAAAGAAAAAATCCTTAGTATCAAAATCAAGTTTGAGATTTTAGTATCATCACAGCACTGACTTGTACACAGACCCACAACACCTCAACACCTATTGATTGAATACTGAATTTTTATGCCACATCAAGGAGTTAATAATACTTATGCAACGGGGAGTTCTTAGAATCAGAACTTTATGTAACCTTTGCAGATGAGTCTGAGCTAACATACGGACAGCCACCAGCGATGGGACCTGTCTGCCATGCTAATCTACAGCTCCAGCACTGAGGGGAGAGAATGTGGGATTACAGCCACAGATGAAGCCCCGAGCCTGGCCATCCTCTCACTGCACTCCCCTCCCCCTGCACCACCATCAACTGGACAGAGGCAAAGAGACAGGCAAAGGGTGGCACATATTCAGACCACTACAGAAATACAGTATTAAGAACGATCTTTGGGAGAAATTTGGGGCTGACTTAGTGGGTTTTTTCAGATTGCATGATTGTTGAATATTTATACAGCAACAAAATTTCAAGCTAATAAAGTAAAAAAAAAAGTTGGACCATGTTCTCTTGCTAAAAACAAATTCAATATAACTTTGTCATAATCAAAGCTGAATACATGTGGACAAGAAACATTCTAAACATGTGAATAAGTGATTAAACGTTGTCAACTTGATACTTTGAGTGATAATTAAATATTTCAATGTCCTATATTACACTAAATGTAATCCTGTGATCTTTAAGCCATGTTATAATGCTGTAACCTCCACAAAAACATACCTGGAGTCATGTTTTGTTTCATTCACACATATTTGAGAAACCCTGTATTATTGGGGTGTCTCCATCTCTCAAGCTCAAAATGCTCTGTTCCACCTTGCGATGTCATGTGGTGGTAGTTTTAATGGAAACTGTTACCCTTTACCTTTAGTGCAGTAGAGATTCCAAGGCTGAAATTATCTAAATGATTCTAGTGAAGGTGTAATGAGTTTAAAAACACAGTGGAGCACTGTATTACCACATGACATCACAAAGTGGAACAGAGTGTTTTCTGTTTGGAAGAAGAACACAGCCTAAATATGCAGGCTTTAAGTGTTAAACGTGTGATGATAAAACACACACCTTCTGGTATGTTTGTGATGAGGAAACATTATAATATCAGAAAATAAAATAATATGGGCCCTATAAACATTAAGAAAGAAGGTGAAGAAGAAAGAATAGTGAAAATATTCAATACATGTTATTTTTAAAAGTTGTTATTTTTGTAAGGAATCTTTTGCCAAAGTCAGTTTATGCAGCCAGTGAAAAAAATTATCAGGTATATATTTCAGAAGTTTTCAAACATGCTATTTTCGTCAGACAAACAATTCCATTATTCATTCCATCTTGAGTGCAAAATCGGAAACCCCAGTGGCTCTGCATCGGTCAGGTCGATATCAGCAGAGAGCACATTGTGAGACTGGAGATAAGAGCCTGCTCCGTCTGACCTTACATAAAACCTGGCACTATGCTAAGGCTAACAACATGAGACGAGGCCACTGAAAGAGACCACTGTGCACATCTGTCACACTCTATGTAGTCACGCTCCAGTGAGAAGAAACCTGCGCTGATGCACGGAAATATGCACAAAGATTACTTTTGGCTTAGTGTATTTCATTTGCTGTAGATCAAGAGATGTCAGGGAAAAAAATTTCAACACCACTATGACTGTGCAAAGAAACACCCAAAACTTAATGATTCTCACTTGATTGTATAATTAACATGCCTACATGCAGCTATTAAGAAGACAAAAATAGTGCCAGTATAAGGCTGCAACAGTTAATTAAGGTTATGGTACACTTAATAGTCCCTGTACGGAAATTTGTCCTTTTTATTTGACCCATCCTTCAATGCTGCTGGGGCATGTCATCAGGAGCAGTGCTAAGGACTACTTTAGCTGGAGGATTATAGCTGTGGTTCATGTTTTGGGTAGATAGGGGGAAAAATCCACCAAAGCACAAGGAGAACATGCAAACTCCACACAAAAAAGCTCAAGAACCCAGACACTTCTTGCTGTGAAATGCAAGTGCACGTCACCATGCAGCCTACATGACTGTAATAATCATGACTAATTGACAGCTAAATCGGACGACTAGACTGGACTCTAAAACACACGCCAAAAGAAACGTTTTATCACAAAACAGAAAGAATTGTTTATTTATAGTCAACTAAATTAATTGATAGTTGCAGCACTAATTGCCACTAGAACTTGATTATATCTCGCTCAAAGACAATTAAATTAAAATATATTTAAATATAAAGAATACACCAATAAAATCAGCAACTTTTAGCTGGGCTGTTAGGCTCTAACACCCTCTTGTAGGTCATTAAATGGAAGCTGAGCTGTTTAAAGTCCACTTTTCCAAAACATAATAAAATCAGGTGACTTCCCCTCTCTGCACCTCTCTAATGAACCTAAATAGAGTAGTTTACATTATACAATTAATAGATAGATTGGTTACACCGTCTGAGATAGTCTAATCATTACACTGACAATACCACAAAAAATAAATGCCTGAAGTCATCATGCATAAAGAACAAGAAAAGAGAGCACACTTGCAAAGAGAACACAACAATTTGAAAAAAAAAAAAAGAACATACACAGCCTATGTATTTCTGTATCATGAAGCAACAAGTAATTCACACAATGATTATGATTATACTGATTAAACTGTATTAGATCTGCTTGCAATAAGACAACTAGACTGGTGAAAAAGTCTGCCAATTGTCTGATTACATCAAATTTACATAAGCAGATATGGCATCAGATGTAGTCATGATTTGGTCATGATAAGTCACATGCAGGAAACAGTTTATTTGGTCTCAGATAAGCATTTTAGATTGCACTCTATTGTACTTGGTCTTTAAAAGGTGCACTAATGTTTTTGGTGGAGGGTCCATCACCTGCTTGTCTCCACTGAAATGTTATTGCTTGCCTGGAATATTCCACAGTGCGACATTAGACATATCTATCTCCGTGGACACAAGCAATTGGCTCCAGAAGTTAAGTTACAAGTCAGATCTACAGAAAGGCAGCCTCACATACAGTAAATGCATGTGTTCCAAGATATTTTTGAGCAAGGATTCGTCATTAAACTAAGATTACAAGCCAAACGTCACATTTTATTTATCGTTGTGTTAAAATTTCTGTGCTAAATCTATTTCTGTAGCAAAAAATACAGATTGCCAATCAAGTTCACATTTAAACTACTCAAACTACTACACAATCTCCATTTTGCTTGTTGCTTTTCCTCTTCCTTCCCATCATCCAAAACTTACCCAGAATCCATTGTTGATCCGGTGTCCTGAGCGACGTAATCATAAATTTGCGGTTTTCTTTTTTCTTTTTCCTGCAGTCACTTGAGCGGACCGAGAACCATGTGTGCCTCAGAAATGCAAACAGAGCGAGTCAGGCTGTCACCGGGGCAGGGGGCGGGGATTATACACGAGAGAGCCAATCAGAGCGCTCAGAGAAGGCGTAGTAGGCGGTACTTGTACGAAGGAGTGAGTGGATTAACCAATCAAAGGGCTCGGAGGGGATAACGTAGGCGGGGTTTCGGACAGGAGTTTGAAGGCGGTTGAGGACAGTGACGAGGTATGGAGGAAGACTGATAAGAAATTATGAAAAAAAGAAAGAAGAAATAGACTAAACAGAAGCACACATGGCATTGGCTTGGTGGTAAGGGTGTAAGGTAAGTTTAGATAAAATTTTATTAACATGAGTGAAGAAAATGGTAATAAAAAGCTAAAAAAAAAAAAAAGGTTGTTAGATTAGAATTTTAATGCTGCTAAAACTCGCAAGATCAGGGGTGGGCATTTATTTTATTAAAATTTTTTTGGAGTTACATGAGAAACAGAAAATATATGTGTCGGGGGCAGGACAAAAATAATATTAATTGTACTTCTTAAAAAAAAAAAAAAAAAAAAAAAAAAAGCAGTAAATAGCATTGTTTTGACAAGCTGGTGAGACTGGTAAGAGTTTATGTTATGACTAAACAATGAAAAAGTGAGGTTGCCTTACAGAAAATGTCATTTATAAATAAAAGCAATGCAGCTTTAGTCCATGCATGAGATAAAATTATACAATATGTATAATATTATTATATTGTAATTCCAAATTATCTTAAACGGGTCAGAGCCATCCAAAAGGCTGTAATGTGACCCGGGAGCTGTTTAATGCCCATGTCTGTCCATTTGAACAAAGTTATTTAGAAGTAGCTCATTAATTTCAAAATTAATCTTCAGAGTACCTTTAGTTAGTAGCAACTAAGTATATAACTAATTCATTCTTACTGTGAGCAGGGCCGCTTCTCCACAGATCTGACCTGTTACGTGACCGGTTGGCATCACCTGCCTGTCACCAAGTTTGAGATTTATAACAACTTTTGAATCATCAGGTTTGAACATTTGTAAACTATAATCACTTATCTCACTAGATGTTACTGAAACAACAAGGTCACAAATACCAAGGAAATAGTTTTGAAATAACTGTCTGCGGAAGACCTGGAGATAGCACATTCTTTGTCTGGCAGTGTGCACTTCACTGTCACCTGTATGGACTGGATTTTACAGACTTCAGACTTTGCAGACTTCACAATAATAGTAGTAGTGGTACGTAGTAGTAGTACTAGGGATGCACTGATCCAGAGACTGAAAACAGCATTTATTTCCTTTAAACAAAATTAACATAAGACAAAACTACTCCAAATGTTAGGTGTATCTTTTATTTATTCCTCAAGTAACTATAGATACATTTAGTATAAATAAAAAGTTCAAACAGAACAAGACTTTCTGGACCAACTATGACCAGTAAACTGACTTACAATTACATCAGTTTATCTGTCCAACCAGGATATCGGCTGAACCGATATCAGAAAGTATCATACCAGTACCAGTACCAGTATCAGATCTGTGCATCCCTAAATTGTAAAACATGCCTATATTCACATACAACAAATGGTACAGCCCAGACTGCACCATCTTCTGAAAGCCTAATCCTATTACCAATAACCATGTTTGAAGTAATTTCCCAAATGCGTCTGTTTCCTCTCTGCATTGATACAATTATTGGAAATGGACTCCAGTATGTTTATGCCCTGCAGATTTATGAAATATGAAATGACAAAAAAATTATAATTCATTAACATTTTGGAAAATGTTTATATACACTGGCGTGCTAAAATGGGCCAACCACTTATTCATTGGCTGTATAATTGTTAGCAGTTGTAACATTTCAATGAGACTGTGTGCTAGGCTAAATGTTATTGTCAGAAACACATGTGGATAGCAGAAGTTTGGTCATCCGATAGCAAGTTTGTTTTTTATGTCTTAAAGGAGACATAATGTTTATTAAGACATATTTAAAGGTCCTATGTGTACACAAAACTGACTCTTGTGAGCTTTAAGCCATGTTATAATGTTGTTCCCTCCTTAAAAACATACATGGATTTTTGTTTCATTCACACATGTTTAAGTAATACTGCAGTATTACTCTGTCTACATCTCTAAAGCTCAAAATGCTCTGTTCCACCTTGTGATGTCATGAAGCGGTAGTTTTCAAATTAACAGATTCAATTTTACGTTTAGTTCAGCAGAGTCCTGAAATCATTCAAATGATTCTAGTGAAGGTGTATGGAGTTTAAAAACACAGTGGAGCACTTTCTGTATTACTACCAGACATCACAATGTGGAATAGAGTGTCTTCTGTTTTAGAGAGGATCTGAAGAAGAAGAAGAATGAATGAAACAAAACACAACTCCACTTATGTTTGTAATGAGGAAACAACAAAAAAACTTTAAATTCTTTCACACTGGGTAATATGAAGAATGAATACCATAATGTCTTGTTACAGTTTGTGAATTTATTCTGATTAAAATCAAGATAGACACGCTGACTTTACTGACAATTGACAGTAGACCAAGTAGTACCTCTCCACTGAGCATGCCCAGTCTATAGAGGTGGGCGGAGTAGCCAAATATTGTACTCGAGTGAGAGAAGTTACAAAGGAGTGTTTGTAGGAATATTTTTAATTATTCATGATCATCTTAAAATCTAAAATATTATCTTTAGATTACGATACTATAGTTAAATGGAAAAAGTGACATCATAGTTATTTATAATGAACTACTTATTTTTTTGGTGTGAACTGCTGAAGTGATAAATCTGTTTAATCTTTTTCCATTCATGTGATGAAACCCACAGTTCTAATGTGATTGCAGCTTGTGTCCTGTGTAGTAACCTTTAGTGAATCCTATAGCTGCTATGACCCTGAGGTTAATCTGTCTGGTCTTAGAACTTTAGCCTGGACAGTCCAACCACAACAACAGTACACAACACAGGAGGTCAGAAGTCACAGCTAACAGGCCTGAGCAGATTATTCAAAATACACAGGTAACAGCTCATACAAATCTGAATTTAAACCGTATTTCACATATAATAATCTGAGTCTGGTTCAACTCTGTGCGCCTGACCAGAGGACAAGATCTGGGCCAACATTCCAAACTTTCAATATGAATTTCCTAAACATAAATACAGACTTTCAACCGGTGTCAATTAACACTAAGAATAGTGACATTTTTTCCTCCAATGTGTGAACTTTACATGCGTAAACATACAATGTTGTTGACCTTTGACCTAGATAGTTCTGCAGCAATTAAGAATCTGTTTTTCGGGGGACTCCTAGCCCCAGAAGAGACCCTACTGTACATGTTTTAGTGGTAAGGAAAACCAGAGCACCCAGAGGAAACCTCTGCACAGAAACTCCACACAGAAAGGACCCACGCTGCCCCAAAATTGAACTCAGAACCCTCTTGCTGTGAGAGCATCATGCTGCATCAGTAGAAGGCATCAGTAAAAGCATGTCTTTTACTGACAGAGGATCAACTGTAGACCTCTCCATATAAAAACTCAGGTTGATCATTGAACATTGAAATGTCAGAATCTCAATTATAATTTCAATTTATCTCACAACCCTAAAAGGATATAGCTGAAAATCAGGACTTTAGAAAATGTCCTATGTTATCCTGTCTGCACATTAACTTCAATAAACTTCAAATTAACTTCAAAACACTTTACAACAAGTGCCTTGTTGACAAAGCACATTTGGTAGAGCATAATTCATTCAGTAATTCAAACAGTTGCACAATCTTTCACTTTCCCAATGAACTTTTTAATTGGGCATCTTACTCCCTCTGCTGGCCAAGATGAGGACTGAAGCTGAAAATATAGCAAATTAGCAGGACTCCTTACTCTAAACATAAGATAACATAAACGTAAGTGAGTATAAAGCCCATCTATGTTTTTAGATGCATCTGCTTTGTTCAGAATGTTCCACAGTATGGCATTAAACTCTGAGACAGGGCAGGTGGCGGACCCTCCACTTCATTACGTTACTGGTACTTCCAAAGTTACAGATTTGCTCCATGTAAACAGACTGGCAAATAAATTACATGGTACACCTTAAATGTCCTGTTGAAGCTAAAATATTTTTAAAAATACACTTCTCCACATCTAACTTCTATATCTATGAAATATGACTGATTTGATTTTACTTACCTTGAACAGTTATCGTAACTCGTGTCTCTCTTCTCATCCACAGAGAGCTCTGGACTAGTGCCCTTCCTTCTCCACCGCCCTGCTCCTCTTCACCGCTCTGAGTCTCCTCCAGTCCCTCACATATTAAAGGGACCTTGCATCAACAGGCCAGTCCCTCCACCTCCTGTAGAGAGATAGAAACAGCATCAATAATACATACATGCACTTATAAAAATAGACCATATTCATAAATAATTTGTTTTTGGGGTCCACTCAGTACAAGCAGCAAAGATGTTAGGTAACAGTAGGCTAGCATCATTTGAGCGTTCACTTAGAGTTGTGTAACGGAGTAAGGCGGGGTAGAATGGCAATTTTGTTTGATTGAATTTGAATATATTTGTCATATTTGAACATAGTGTTGTCACTGTACTAAAATTTCAAATTCATTTCAGTACGAAGGCACAGACTCAGTACTGATTCCGATACGACAATGATTATTAAAAAAACCCACAACATTAAATCATAGTACCTGATCTTGCTTTGATACTAGTTTTAGTATTGATTAGTTGATTTTTAACACTTTTGACAACCCTATTTGAACAATGATTCAAATAGGACAAATTTAAGATAAAATAAGTCTTTTCTAGTTTTTATTCATGATCAGCATTAATATGTCTTCTTTAACGCTTACTGTGTGAAGAGAGATTGAGCCTAATATGTTATTTTAAAGGTCCTATAACACATAAAATTGAGTCTTGTGAGCTGTAAGGTGTGTTATAATGTTGTTGCCTGATCAAAAACATACCTGGAGTTGTGTTTCATTCACATATGTTTGAGTAATTCAGCATTATTAGTCTGCCTACATCTCCAAAGCCCAAAATGTTTTGCCTGTAAAAATCTGAATCAATATAAATTTGGTTTTATAGGTGGAACAAAAACACTGACCACCTGCCTATTCCATTATTATCACATAAGAGTCCACAGTCAAGCAATGAATATTTACAATAACACACAATCTCTAACAGTAATGCAGGTGGTCCCCCTCTGACCGGACGTCCCCTCTGAACCTTTTCCAGTCTGGCCACTCCCACGAGAGGGCGACTGTTACCATGGCGACCCCCCTTTATCCCGCTGTAGCCTTTGAGGGAGTCTTTTCAGATTAAATATAAAGACAGAAACAGTTATTTGCATTCGCCTTCCATTACTGATTACGTTTGTTATGCCGAGTGGATAAAGGCGTGGGGGGCTGTATTGTGTTATGGGGATGAAGGAGAAGGCTTAGGGGGGTCCTGGAGGGGGGTTCTGGAGGCTGATCTGAAGGTTCATACACACTCTGAAAAACCAAAGCCTTGACTGTGAATGGACAGCTGTTTAGTATGCAGAGCACTATCCACAAAACTGCATCACTACTATAAAGAAAGAGCTATGAGTACTTTTGAATATTCACTTATTTAGAACTAGTCGTAAAAGTATATTTGACCTTGGAAGTGGAAATCCCAGTGTGCATTGATTTCAGCTTTCTGTTATATGCAACATTTTGAGGATTTTTTATTTAAAGGTTAAATCGCTATGGCAACAGTCCTAATTAATCTGAAACCCATGGATTGGACATATGATAGAAACATAACATAAGGAAAGGTAACAGTGACACTTGACTCTTCTATATAAACATATAAAGTACCAGGGTTAGTTTGGTGCATATTTGGTGGGTAGCCAAAAAGTGTACTCATATAAGGGTAAAGTTACTTCAAAATCATATTACTCAAGTAAAAGCGAAAAAGTATTTTGGCTAATAGTAAGAGAGAACAAAATAATTAATATCCAAAATCTAGTATTTTCAGGACAGACACAAAAATGAAACAACCTAAATCATATCTGAAGGAGTGGTGTAAAAAAACACAAATGTTCAATTAATTTAATATTGTCAACATAAAACTTTTGTCACTTTAGACCAGACATGTCAAACTCAGGCCTGGGGGTCAAATTTGGCCCATGAGATCATATCAAATATGTATTAGAGCTGGCCCACCTACTACAGATAGGCTATAGAGACATTCTTTATTTAAAATTTTGGGTAAACTTTAGATTAGGGACCACATATTAATAGCTAGTTAATAGTAAAATGCATAATAAGTGCTTAATACATCTTTGTTAACATTTATAAAGTACTTTTATGCATTTTTGTTTAAGACCGTATTTTGCGAGTACTAACCCATTAACTATTTTCTTTCCATTAAAGTAGTGGAGATTACAATCAATGTTTTTGTGCATATACTGAAATCTTAATAAACATTAATAAGTGTTTGATTAATACCATTTAACAGCTAAGTAACAGCTAATTAGCAAACCGATTACCACTTAGTTAGCTATTAATATGTAAACTAAAGTGTTACCAAATTTTGTTATTATTTTATATTATACGTGTTCTGGATTCAGTGTTTAAGCAAAACTATTATTAAACATTTATTTTAATAAGAAAAGGTTTAACATTACATATCTCAAAAGAAGAGAAAACATGCAGATGTTGTTGAAATTTTTCAGTAAATATTTAGTTTGGCTCACGACTTAGTCCCAGTTTTTACTTTTGGCCCTCTGTGAATTTGAGTTTGACATCCCTGCTTCAGACTTACTCACAGTAGGAAGAGAAACCACAACCTTTACTCAAGTAAGAGTGCTGTTACTTCAATAAAAGTATTACTCAAGTAGGTGTAAAAGTAGAAAAGTACAATTAAAGTACATAAATGTAACTGAGTACTACCCCCTGCTGGTATTTGTGTTCATTTGTTGTATTTTTGTGTTTGGTGCAGCTGCTGCTTCATCAGTCCAGTGGAGCATGGCACGATTAGACCAGACTCTTAGACATTCATGAAATATTAACAAACTCATGGAGAGAATACTATGCTTTAAGCACACACTCAGAAGGAATTGTATCTGAAGGACTAGTATATGAATGTATAAATATTTGGGTGAGAATGAAATAGAGATCTTCAGTCAAACAATTGTCTTTGTGTGGTTTATTCTCTTGCAACAGAAAGAGCAAGTAAAGAGGAGAGTAGATCAGGGAGAAAAGAGAGAGCAAGGGCATGGGTCCGTCCCACACTGGGCTTTATACAGCCAGTACAAAGGTATGTACACGGGTAATCATGACAGAAATAATGAGGGGGGGACTGAACAGTGAGGGGATGCACCTGAGAGAGGAATGTCAGTTTCAATGGAAAAGCGCTGACTGAAACTGGGGCCACATAATTATAACAGTAAATATGTTTAAAGGCATGTTAAAATAAATGCATTTTGCTACTATACAGTTGTCATATGATAATGTAATAAAATGTTAGTGTTACGGATTTACACACTGATGCTGGCTGGCACACACGCACACACACACACACACACACACACACACACACACACACACACACACACACACATAGACACATGCACGGGTGTTCTTACAGAAGTATGAGCCTAGTTTGTGTGAGGTTGCTAGTGGAGACAGTGATGAGAGGTGACATATGACTTTTGGAGTTCAAAGGTCAAGTTCAAGGTCAAAGGGTAAGGGTCAGAACATTACAGTAACACTTGGTATGATTTGTCCTCTGAAATGACAGACATTAAGTTAAGTGCATTTTATATAGCTTTTTCAGTTGAAATTTGTATATTATTCAGGGCAAATGGGCTTTTGTCTGGCAAAGCTGGTTATCATAGGATATCAGCCAAAACTCCATTCAGTAATAATGCTGTAAATAAGCAAATGTTCCAAATGAAAAAAATGTGTCAGTGTATCTGTAGTGTCTGTGTTAATTATAACTAAATTGAAACTGATATTTACAGTTAAATTCAAAATGTATAAAAAGCATTGTAATTATTGGTTCAATTAGATAAATAAACAAGAATTCAAACTTTTCACTTCTAAAAATATCATACTATTTTTATGTTGTCTAGTAAACATTTCATATTAATTTTAAATACTTACATTTTCCTCAGATTTTTAAATCCTGGATTCCTTTCCTTTTTGCTATTATGAAATCTCAGTCTTTTTAGGCCAACAGATTCTTCAGTTCTTTGCAGGTTATCTTGCGGACTCCTGTGTGACTTGTGACTGTGGCGTAGAGTGAGACAGTGAAAGTTGTGATTACACGAGGCCAAGGGGATAGACTGAGTGGGATTGAGACGCTCTAATCCTGATCTAATCCCTCACACATGCCCACACACACTGCACAGGAGAGAGTAGTAAAGTGCAGGAACGAGCACAGGTGAAGTAGTAGGCCTTTTCAGGACGTTTCTTTAACAAAACAAATCATTTAGTGTTGGGTATAATGCTATAACTAAAATGTGCATGTATGTTCAGAGTGGAAAGATGGTATTTAAAATTTTCTTTTTTCAAATGATTAGCCTATCTGTTGTTGCGTAAATAATAAATTCTAGAAAGGTTACATCGCTTTAAGGTGACAATTTAACCCTAACTCTTCTCTAAAGCTGGGGGTTGAAATTAAATGTTTAAATAATTGTCCACAAGAGGGCGCCATCTGCCAACTCAAAGGCCTGGCTGTGTGGTGTTTGCTTTCTTTGCTTTTGCACCTCATAACCATGGGGTGAACACTTATTGCAGGTTTTACATAAGACACTTAAGACAGGTTTTCATATTTTTCTAATTATTCGTGATACAGTCTGTGTGAGATCAAAAACCAAACTTTTTCAAAGTTTTATTGGAGTTTTACGTTTTAGAGACACCACCGCACTCCTCTGCTTCAGGTCATTTCTGTGTGCTTTCACAGTTTCAGCACCTGTAGTAGCGGTTCACTCTCAAAATGTCGTAATGGCTCACTCCAGATGCATGTCCAAAACGCATTGTTGGGTTTTTCTTTGACAGAAGTGTGGGGTGTCCATTTTTAGACCACGCATAACTAAAAAAACACAAGGGTTAAGACAAGCAGAGCCAGAGCCAGAATAGTAGTAGTAGTAGTAGTAGTAGTAGTACTCACTTGTGGTACTGCATGACGGAGTTGAAGTCGTAGGGTGTGTACAGGTTGTTGGTCCTGTGCTTTGCAAAGTTGCTTATTTTATCTGAGGAGAGACACTTTTATCAGAGGTGTGTGGACAAAATATTCCTCCTTTGATAATAATTAAACCATTTACAACAAAACAGGGCCTAGGTCTGCCCTCGTTCTAGACTGACATCCTCCCAGTGTCCCAAGCAAACCTCTCCCTGGGGTTCCCCCTGCTGAACATCTGAGCTCTGAATATTTATACTAGAAGTACAAAGCTACATATCAAAGCAGAGTGACTTGTTTCACAGACACGAGTTTCTCTTGTACACTTAAAGACAGGAAAAACAAGACAGTACTGAAGGACGCTTAGATTTAACACATGTTAATGCCTGCTCTGGGTCTCTGATTGGCAAATGCATTTACATAACGACATATGAACATGAACACACATTGACATGAATACACATTTCCATCACAGAAGCAAACTGAAAGCTACTGTGTAGATTCAACAAGATCACGAAAAGGCAAGACATTCAGACAAATACTTGAAGCTGATTGGGTGGGTTAAGTGTCTGGCCCAAGAACACAAGTATTCATCTAAGGGAGCTGCAATTACACCACCATCCCGTAGGTCAGTGGATCTGACAAATAATGTTTATGTTGAGATGTTGGAATTGAACCGTTAACCTTTGGATCAGAGGCTGAGCACTGTACTAACAGCCCCTGCTGCCCAGTGTTATTGTTAAAGTCTTACCTGATATGATGTTCTGGTACAGGACAGTCACATGGTCATCACGGTCAGAGCGCGTGTGTTCGTGGGCAAAGCCGAGCGCGTGCAGAAGCTCATGTTGGATTGTTGCAGGGTTGAGGCAGCCTTTTTTAGACAGAGACAGTTTCTGTTTATGCATCCTTCTCTGCCTCCCAATGTACGACCAGCACCTGAGAACACATGTACAGATATGTGCCTTTACCCAGTGTGAGTCAAATGACATCTGTCATGCTAAACATTATCCTGAATGTGCCCCCTGTAGTCTCCCATCCAGTACTGACCAGGCCCAGCCCTGCTTAGCAAAACACATCTGACCAACCAACGCTTTGGTTGTTGAAGTTGGCCAATTGATACAGTACTTGTGTAGTACTTACTGTAGTACTTGTGTGTACCCTGTGTACTCTGTGCACTTACCCATTTCCAGAGAAGATGTACAGGTGGTGTCTAAATAAACTCCTTGAACCTGACACAGGTTCGAGACTCAATAGTCTTCATGGCCGAGCGGATCAGACTCTTCTGATAGTAATCTACAAAAGACCAAGTCTGAGGATCTCAACCAGACTACAGTGGATCTACACCAGGATCTGAACCATGATCTGAACAGAACTCACTGTAGCTGTGGTCAAAGCAATACCGGATCATGACTTTTGACCTGGATTTGGGCCATTTACATTTACGGCACACAACAGCGTTTCTCAGAATTTTTTGTTTGTCCACAGCAATGTCACCCTCCATCAGATGAGACTCTGGAAGTACAAATTATTTTTACTATAGTATGACTAGTATCACCACTACTATTACAACTGATACTGTTACTACTACTGCTGCTGCCACTACTACTTCCAATACTTCGCTGGGATGTACCGATTTTCTGGTTGATTTTCTGGTTGACTTTGGCAATGGTTTCACTGACACTTTCTTCATCTGCATCTAGGGTGGAGTTGGTCTGAGCAGTGTCCTGCAGGTCTGTGCCCTCCTGGTCTGTACCGTCCTGTGCCCATGTGCCCATCTGCAGAGACAGTAAGACTACAGTAAAAGTACAACCTTACAATTCAGTAAAAATCTCTGAGAAGTGTCTTACCATGAGTAGCATCATCAGGGTGAGTGTGAGGGGATGGAGCTTCATGGCACTGCTGCTTTTGTTTCCAAGTTCAAACTGAGACAAACCGAGAGCTAAGTAGGAAATGTTCAACAAACCAAGTAGTTTTGGGCTAAGGCCTTCTATGAGCATGAATCAGAACTAAACTAGATCTAAACCAGGACTAAACCAGGACTAAACCGGGTATAAAGCAGTAATTCACCAGGACTTAACCTAGATTTAATCAGGACTTAACCAAGATTAAACCTTAACCAAACAAGACTAAAAAGCCATAAAGCCAGATCTAATGCAGGACCAAACCAGTTACAAATAAGGACTAAACCAGAACTAACCCAGGCCTAAACCAGGAAAAAACAGGTGTATGTATGGACTAAACAAGGACTACTAAAACAAGGTCTAACCCAGGACTAAAACAGTTCTAACCCAGGAGTAAATAAGGACTAACGCAGGACTAAACCAGGTGTAACCCAAGTCTTATTCCTCACCTGTTCTTGCAGCTCTGTGATGGTGTTCTTGGTTGAATTCTTCTTTTAAAGCGAACAAAGGCTGAAACTTTATCTTTGTTTACTCAGTTTTAATTTGTGTAAAAGTATCACAACTCTGATGATCATGATTCTTAAGTTTGTTCAAATTATTTATTTAAGTTTTGAGTTTCAAAGAGTTCACCTGACCAAAATATAAACAGTATTTACTCAAGATGCATTTTACAGCTACATGTACACAGCATAACGGAGGTGTAGTTATGCAGAGGATATGGAGGCTGAAATGGTGCTTTATTTCTGGTTTAGTTCTGCTTTAGTACTATCTTATTTTTTATTTATACATGGTAGTTCTGGTTAGGTCTTGGTTAAGTCCTGATTTATTATGTTTTATTTATTTAAAACAAGTGCACAGAAAACATTAAACTCAGAGAGAAAAGATACTGAAATCCATGGGATACAAGCAGTCAACTTGATTTCTGGTACTGTTTTAGTTAGTTTCACTTTGGTTTATTTCTGGTTTAGACCTGTTTAGTCCCTGTGTGGCCCTGCCTCAATTGGAGGAATTCAAGTATCTCGGGGTCTTGTTCATGTGTGAGGGGAGGACAGGAGATTGACAGGTGGATCGGTGCAGCGTCGGCAGTGATGCGGTCACTGTATCGAACCATTGTGGTGAAAAGGGAGCTGAGCTGAAAGGCGAAGCTCTCGATTTACCGTCAATCTTTGTTCCTACACTCACTTATGGTCATGAGCTCTGGGTAATGACCAAAAGGGCAAGATCGTGGATACAAGCAGCCAAAATGAGTTTCCTCCGCAGGGTGGCTTGGCGCTCCCTTAGAGATAGGGTGAGGAGCTCAGTCACACAGGAGGAGCTCGGAGTAGAGCCACTGCTCCTCCACATTGAGAGGAGCCAGCTGAGGTGGCTTGGACATCTGTTCCGGATGCCTCCTGGGTGCCTCCCAGGCCCTGCGACCCGGCCCTGGATAAGCCGAAGAAAATGGATGGATGGGTCTAGAGCATAAACATGATACTGGAAACTGAGTAACCAAATGATCTTATCTGTGATGTTTGCACCTGATGTTGTCCTGATGGTGCCATCGAATCAGGACATGCAAGATGCACTTCAGGAACAAGTCTGAACCAGGACTTGGGAAAGTGTCTGGGGTGAGGCATGTCAGGAAGTCTACTTAGACTGCTGCCCCTGCAACCCTGACCTGGATATGAAAGAAGGAATACAGATTCTATATTCTATAGAATCAACTCACAATACCACATTTCATATACACCTTTAAACCAGAACTAAACCAAGTGAACTAAACCAGGGATAAGGAATGTACGGCTCAGTTGGCACAACCACTGCACAGGTTTTTCTACCAAAGTCTGAAGATGGGGAGAGTCTCGGCACTGTGGAAAACATTGTCTTGTTCTGATACCTAGAGTTGGTCAGCCAACAAAGATAAACATCTATAGACTAGCACTTACACATTATGAAGACTCGGGAGCAGCTTGTTCTGGGCCTCATTAAACCAGAGGGGGAGCATGGTATGGACCTTAACCCTGGTTAGGATGTAATCATCTACAAACTCCTCCAGATCATGATGTTTCTCCACTATGCATTCAGCCCCATTCAGCCCTCCACGCTGAAGGAGAAGCTCGGTGTTCTGGGGCTGGATCCATCACTCACCAGGTGGATAACAGACCACCTGACTGGACAACCACACCGCAAGGCACCACAAGCTCTCTGTTCCACCTTGTGTGATGGCATGTAGTGGTAGATTTTAAGTTAACAGCTCCTGTATTTACCATTTGTTAAGTAGAGATTGGCAATTCCAAGTCTGAAAGCATCCAAATTATTCTTGTGAAGGTGTGTGGAGTTTAAAAACACAATGGAGCACTTCCTGTATTACCACATGACATCACAAGGTAGAACAGTGTTTCTGTCTGAGAGAAGAACTCAGCCTAAATATGCAGGATTTTTGTGTCAGTAAAACAAAACATAACTCCAGGTATGTTTTGATGAGGAGGACACAACATTATAACAGATCAGAAATAGTGTAATATAGGTCATATAATTTTCCACACAGTCCTACCACATATAGTATTTGGATCTTATATGGTATAGTGCTAGAATCAATGATACTCATTTCAATTGTGATTTCTAGATTAAATACATTTGAGTCAAGCCAAAATCTTTAGGGAGAAAAGCAAGTACTGTCATGAACCACAGTCATAACCACGCATGTTAGTAAGTATTTTCTACATCTTTTATATCTTACATTTGGTTTAGAATAAAGTGAAGAGCTAATCATTTCCATATTTTTTGGGAATGTGCGGTCATCCAAGAATATTGGTCAGGGATTCATCGGTATCTGCAAAATGTTTTTTCATTTGTTTTTCCTTGTCATTTAATGGCTTGTATCTTGGTATTCAAGATGGCTTTAACAATACGAACAAGAGATTACTCTACATTCTACTGTCTGCAAGTAAAAAGGCAAATACAAGGAAATGCCTTAAACCTGAGCGACCAACAATTGAGAGCTGGACTGATATTGTGCAAGAGATCTACACACTGGAAAAGCTTTCATTTTTACTGAAATTGCAGCTGGACTTATTTTAAGATGTGGTCTAAATGGACAGAGTATGCACAGCCTGTGAGATCAGACTTCATGTAAAAAGTATTTTATATTTGTAATGTTTTGTTAATTTGTGAAAGAGGTTCCCTGGCTCCCCAACCTGTTGTATATGTAAAAAAAAAAAATCTATCTACCCTGGATTGAGTATGCTCACAACTCCTGGTGAACTCCCTGGTGAGTGCAAACTGTCTGTCTCTTTTTCAAGCCTCCCTAGGTTATCAGCCTCCACTCTTCCCATCTGAGGAAATGGACCTGGCAGCGCCCTCTGTCCAGCACTATCTTCAACAGTGCCAAAACATCTGGAAAAGGACCAGAACCGCCCTCCTCCAATCTACAGCCAAAACCAAAGCAGCAGCTGACAAGTGCTCCCCAGTGCCAACCAGGCCAGTCAGTATGGTTATCTTTAAAAAAATATCCCACTCAAGACTCCTCCTCGTTTTTTGGGCCCCTTCAAAATAGTCCCACTACTGTTCGCCTTCAGTTGCCATCTTCCCTTCACATTCACCCCACTTCCTTGTGTCACAGTTAAAGCCAGTTTTTCCAGTGATCTCTGGAGCTCTCTGGAGGTCTCTGTCTAATCTGAATCCTCAGTCCCTAAACCACAGCACCTGCAGTCAGTCATTATGCTGCTGCTGTAAGTGCTGTTAACGTCTGAACATGATGCACTCCCTCACAAGTCCAGTCCATGAATGTCCATGAAGAATTATTAGTGGCCTATAAATGCCATGACTTTGTACTGGAGCAAGGAAACAAGGAGGTTAAAAGAACCTACCTACCCAATAGAAGATCTGAATAATTTGATGACCCTTTACACTTACACCATTATTATTCCTATTGTAGCCCTTGAGAACCTAGTGCCTGGTCCAAACTACTATATTACTTTACTATACTATTCTTGAGTTGGCAGAGGGACACACTATTTCCTGTAATTTTTTTTTGTACTTTTTTCAAACTTCCATTTAACTAATATATAATAAATATTTACCACTACTATCTCACCAACCAAGTAATAATATGAAAATGTAGCTTACCTGGAAATCTAGACTGAGTCAGCATTGACATTTTATTTGCCAGGGTGATACTTACTGGGAAGAGAGGACCAACTGCATTTCACTTGAACTGAATTTGAGTTTGTCACAGATGGCCCACTTGTACCACTTGAGCGAGAGAAACTCAAACTTGTCAGAGGGGAGGAAGGGGTCATGTTTGTTTAGCTATGTCCGCTTGCTGTAGTGCTCCCAAAACGGAGACAGAGTGTGCCTGAAAGTACCATGGACGTAAGGTCACCCCCACAAGCCCCACAAACACACAAGAACATTCAGTGTAAGTAGCAAATTTAGTTCTATGATCTTAAAGGAACAGTACCTGATTTGATACTGTCTTAAAAATGTGAACAACAGAACTTCAGTTTGTGGGGTTTCAAAGTTATTCTTCACTTATCATATGAATCCTAATCCTACAGCATGCTAACTGAGCACTTCCTGATTCTCTGGCAATAAAACACTTTATAAATAGATGCAGACATTACATAACAGATACATTTTGACCTCAAGAGCTGCTTATACAATATATTTGTATTGGGTCAAGACAATAACAAGCATGTTTTGATACGGATACAAGGTAAAGATCCTAAAATCATACAGCTTGGTAATAATTATAACATATGATAATTTATTATTGATTTTTATCTTATTTTCCAATCAGAAAGTAGATTTGGGTTGCCAGTTTCAATGTTGAAATATACAGTTTTGCACCTAAAACGCCTCTCTCTCTCATCTGAACGGCCACTACCTGAATCCCAGTATCTACATTATTAATTGGTGCTAGTGCATCTTCTACAGCTCAGTGACTGAATTCTGGATATTGACAATTTTCACATGCGGCCGGTCCATATAATGAGAATGAGAAAAACTTGTGAGTTTAGGAACTGGCAACCTGCATGTTATAACCCGCTAGAGCGCATGCAACATATCCTTCCTTTAATGTCATTATTGTAACTGTGTTGTTAATAGTACAATCATAACAAAAACAATAATAAATAATAATAGAAAAACAGTCAAATAATTGTCTTTTTTTTTTATTTCACTCATTCTACAAAAGTACAAAAGTATATTACAGTATATAGCAGATCTTCATTCAAGTCCAGGAGCAGCGAGGCCTCACAGTCCTGGATCATATACTGACAAAATATAACTGTGTCAAATGTTACAATCATTCTCAAAAATCTTCATGATCAATATGTGAACTTTTAATAAAATAGTTGTTAATAGTTTATTTTGTTGTAAATAGTTTATTTTGTATGTAATATGAGCCAGTGTAGCTACCTTCAGTACCTTCAGTAAACTTGTCCACACAAATACACAACTGGCACCTCTGACTGCAGTAAATCTAACATACGACTACTAGTGATAACGGAATAACTCTTGATTAAACATTGTAATTGCATATCAAACTATATGAAAATCTGATTTCATATAGTTTGATTTCATATAGATACTGAAAATACTTGATTAAAAATACATGAATTCCAAATAAGAATCTAAGTTTGACTAGTTTAGATTTCACAATGTGGGTGTGCAAGGTTATAGAACCAGCTTTTAACAAAGTTGCAGTCTTCAGTCTTTTAAGTTCTACTGAAATTATATATTTAGGGATGCACCAATCAAAGATTTTTAGTCCCAATATTGATATCAGCAATTGGATTTGGGGTGTCTGCTAAGTCAAGTCAAAGTAAAGATAACTATGAAAAGAACCATATGTAAGACTTTGATGCAAAACTTCAGAAACAATAATGTATACATCAATGCTGAAAGCTATTTGTTTTACACCTTAAGCTTAAGGCTGTGAATAGTATAGTTGCTACTGGTACTACTAAGTGTTACCTGAAAGTAACTGGGAAAAATAGTCAACTCAAGATTAATACATGAAATTTAAAGTACTGTATCTCATACTGCGTTATCACTATTGTGGACTATTGTGTATAATCCAGTGAATATAATAAATGCAATGGTTTACACTGTACTGCATATGAATGACCCTTGTATTTATGCGGACCTGTGTGTGCGTGTGCATGTGTGCATTAGAATTCTGCAGTCTTTTTCTCAGAGGAGCTAGGGTACAGGGAGTAGGGTACAGGGACAGGGAATAGGGTACAGGAAGTAGGGTTCACAGTGCAGGGTAGCAGTGGGTAGGGTAGTAGTGCATAGTAGGTAGGGTTCAGGTCACTGAGCAAGGGTAATAAGGCACAGGGAGTAGGGTACAGGGCATAGGGCTCAGAGGATAGGGTTCAGGTGGTAGGGCTCAAATAGTAGGGCTGGAAGAGCCTCTCGTGGGCGCACACGGCCAGGGCAGTGTGAGTGTGCATGAGTAAGCGTGGGAAGCGGCTGGTGAAGTAGGACACAAAGCCTTCTGGGAGCTCACCGAGAGTCTCCTGAACCTCCTGCGGCAGTTCGTGGTAATGGTGTTTCTGGGGGAAAATACCATTCAAGTTTATCAAAAGCTCTACTACAATTAAATTTGTGTCATAGTAGCAGAATATTTCAGACTACTACCTGATACTAAATGGTGCAAATGTACATAAATTACACAAATAAGTGAGTATGGATAGTCACTATAAAACATTTTGAAGCGTGATATATTGCTTAAGAAACTCATTCCAGAAAGTCAAATTCAAAACCCAAATTTCTGTGTCTCAGAAAATTTGAACATTGTAAAAAAGTTAAACACTGGAAAGTCCTGGTGTCACATCCTAATCAACTAATTCATTGAAAAACCTTTCAATGGTATCCTGATCCTTTAAATGGTCTCTCAGTCTAGGTCAGTGGGTTACACAATCATGGGGAAGGCTGTTGACTGGACAAATGTCCAGAAAACACTCATTGACACCATGCACAAGAAGAAAGACAAAAGGTCACTGCTGAAGAAGCTGGTTGTTAACAGAGTGCTGCATCCAAGCATATTCAGAGAAACTTGAGTAGAAGAAAAAAATGTGATTACAAAAGGTGCACCAGCAAAAGGGAGAGAGGATTGTCAACCAAAATCCACTCAAGAGGCTAGAGTCAGCGCATCAAGAGCCACTATGCACAGACAAAGCCTGTATGGATCATGAGAGGATGTCAAAACAGTCTTACCTGGACTGTGGAAAAAAAGAAGTGGGGCCTCATTTATAAAGCTCACTTATACACAAATCCTTGCTCAGGCGCTCCTTACACCAACCGCGGGATTTATGAAACTCATCCTAAGCGTGGTGCTTTGCTTTTCTCTACGCCAACTCGGGACCTTGCTTGGGAGCTTGCATGGCGCACGCCTCTCCTGGCTACTATGTGTATGCACTAGCTTAGGAAACTCCTATGCAGTTTTGCAGTTTTGCAATGCATAGAAATTAACATACTTTTCAAACGCCTAACATTTCTGTTTAAAATATCCTTTTTATTTATCCATTTATATTTATATTCAAATTTTCTGAGAAACAGAATTTTGAGTTTTCATTATCTGTAAGTCATGATCATCACAATTTCAAGAAATAAAGGCTTGAAAGCTACTATATATAGACTATATAATATACAGATTTAATTTGAAATGAGTAACAAAAATGCTGAACTTTTTTAAGATGTTCTAATAATCGGAGATTGACTGTAATAGACACAGCTGTCACGAGCGCACTAACCTTATTCCTCATGGCTCTGAGCAGGTCTCTCACTGAGTTTCCTGATAGGTTCTCTCTCACTGAGTTTCCTTTATAAGTTCTGAAGCGTCTCAGGTCTGCGCAAAACACAAATGCAACACAATGAAAATGTTCAGGTAACTCTTCATTTTTATAATAAGGAGGTCCCGATTGAGCCCAGGAGTCTCTGGCTCGTACCTGTCTGCAGAGGCACTGAGATGTGCATCCTCCAGTTGGTCCGGACCACAGATCGGCTTGCAGTCTCCAGTCTAACCACTATGGGGCTGTCGGAGGGCTCCTTCTCTATACGGTCACTAACATCCTACCAACATACACATACTCAAAGATCAACAACTCATCAAATCAAACAGTACAGAGTACGCTCTGTAGTACATGCAGTAGTATTGCAAAATATAACATAAAAGTTGTTTAATTTACATTATAATAACAAACATTAGTGTTTGTACTGAAATATTGATAATCCACACAATACACTAACTAAAAATATACAATTAGCTTTCAACTGTACTTTAACACTAAATCAAATTTATTTTGCTACTGTTATACACCATATACAACTACTGTATACATGGTGTTGTTAATAGCATTGTCTACTGTTTCTAGTCCTTTTCTCCAGTTTTAGTGCAGTCTAAGTATATTTGCAGCTATTTGTAAGCAATCAAAAACTGGTTTCAGTTCCACTTTTGTTTTAATTTTTGACCTGCGTTGGTATTCCAAACAATAAATAGAAAAACATTATTTGGGTACTGAGATAATTAGAATGAGGCAAAAGTGCATAGACTTTAAAATAGATCAAGTCATCACAAAACGTAACCAATTTTAAAAATTTAGCATAATATAG